CCCTAACCTCTCAGTTGAAGAAAATGCAGAGGTATGTTGATCGTCTTCTCAAACTTAATGTTAAGTTTGATGAGGATTTGGATATCGACATCATCCTCCACTCCTTGCCTTCCTGCTACAACTAGTTCAGAATGACCTACCACATGAATAAGGAATAGGTCTCCCTGAGTAAGCTTCAAGGACTTCTGAGGACTGCTGAGAGTAACCTCAAGGACAAATCTATTGCATCAGCCCCTACTATGGCTACTTCTGTGTTGGCAATTGGTCGAGGGATGGGAAAGAAGATGAAGGCTCCTTCAAAGAGCTACCAAAAGGGAAAGCCCCGTCATGGTTTATCCTCTAGTGGGACCAAAGCAGATTCTTATAAATCCTCCTCTGACCCTAAGGAAGCAGAGTGTTTCTATTTCCACGAGAAGGGCCACTGGAAATGAAGTTGTCCTAAATATATGCAAGACATTAAGGATGGGAAGATAAAGCCCACTTTCATAGGTATGTATTCTATTAAATCTAACAACTCATCACTTGCTACTTCATGGGTTCTTGATACAAGATGTGGTTTCCATATATTTTCTGATTTGCAGGGCCTAATAAGAAGTAGGGAGGTGGAGCATGGGAAGATAATCTTGATTATGGGAAACAGAATATCGTCGCTTGTGACCAGAGTTGGAGTTTATTATTTAGTGTTGAGTAATGGGTTACGATTAGATTTAAATAATTGTTGTTATTCGCCAGATATGGCAAAGAACATCATTTCTTTTCATGGATTATATAGACAGGGTTTCAGATATTTATTTGATAATAGTAATAGTTCTATTAATGTTTATTTGAATGGTGTTTTTTATTTCAATGCATTTCCTTGTAATGGAATATATGAATTTGTGTTGGTTCTAGACAACTTAGGAAATGATGTATTGAATATTGATTCGTCTAATAGTCTACACAAAGCATGCTTGTGGCAGTGTCACCTTGGCCATGTCAACAAGAAACGCATAGCACAACTCCAAAAGGATGGAGTATTGGAGTCATTCAACCTTAGGGACGATGATGTGTGTGAATCTTATTTACTTGGGAAGATGACCAAGTCACCCTTTACTGGCACTTGTGATAAGGGTGAGGGTCTATTGGATCTCATACACACCAGTGTGTGTGGGCCCTTCAGATCCACCACAAAGGATGCTTGCCGCTTCTACATGACTTTTTTGGATGATTATAGCAGATATGGATATATCTACTTAATCAAGCATAAGTCATAAACCTTTGAAAAGTTCAAAGAGTTTAAGAATGAAATGGAGAATCAGCTGGATAGGAAAATCAAGATGCTTCAGTCAGACTGAGGAGGATAGTACCTAAGTCTTGAGTTTCACGGCTATCTAAAGGAATGCGGAATTGTTCCACAACTGACGCCTCCAAGAACGCCACAATTGAATGGTGTGGCTGAGAGACGTAATCGATCCTTGTTGGACATGGTTTGTTCTATGATGAGTTCGGCTTCGTTACCAATAGCTTTCTGGGGGTATGCCTTAGAGACTTCCGCCCATATCCTTAACCTAGTTCCCACCAAGAAGGTTGCCAAAACACCTCACGAGATGTGGACGGGGAAAGCTCCCTTGTTGGTACATATCAAGGTTTGGGGTTAGACGGCTTTCATAAGATGAGAGACTCACGACAAGCTCAAACCTCGTAGTGAGAAGTGTTATTTCATCGGCTATCCACAAAATTCTTTTGGCTATCTCTTCTACAGACCGAGTGACAATGTTGTCTTCGTTGCGAGAAGATAGGTTTTTCGAGAAAGAGAACTCATAAGCCAAGAGGACAGTGGGAGGCAAATTGATCTTGAAGAGATTCAAGAGCAGAGTGATGAAGGAACTTCTAACACTGGAACTCAAATTGAGGAGGAAACTCCTGTTGAACCAACTGACGAGTCCTTACCTCTTAGACGTTCCATTAGGGTTAGTGTTCAACCACGGTTTTATGGTTTTCATATTACTACTGAAGGGGAGACGTTTATTAGTGATGAAACACTAATAAATATGGACGAACCTAGCAGCTACAAGGAAGCCATGTCAGGACCGGAGTCTACTAAATGGAAAGAGGCAATGGACATCGAGATTCAGTCGATGTACGAAAACCATGTTTAGAATTTGGCTGACAACGTGCCGGGTCGTAAGATAGTCGGGTGCAAGTGGAACTTCAAGAAGAAGACATACATGGATGGGAATGTGCATACTTATAAAGCACTATTGGTTGCGAAGGGCTTTACTCAAACTCTTGGAGTTGACTATGATGAAACCTTCTCACCAATTGTGAAGATAAAGTATATTAGGGTAATGGTCGCAATAGTTGCGTTTCATGATTATGAAATATGGCAGATGGACGTGAAAACTGCTTTTCTTTATGGAAAGTTGACTGAGGATGTTTACATGAATCAGCCAGAGGGTTTAGTCAATGCGAAACATCCAAATAGAGTGTGTAAGCTTGATAAATCCATTTATGGATTGAAGCACGCGTCTCGCAGATGGAATCTTTGTTTTGACGAGAAGGTCAAAGAGTTTGGCTTTCTGCAAAGCCAAGATGAGTCATGTGTGTATGTCAAGGCTTGTGGGAGTATAGTGAACTTCCTTGTATTGTATGTCGATGACATACTACTCATAGGAAACGACGTCCCAATGTTGCAGGAGGTCAACTCCTGGCTTGGAAAGTGTTTCGCTATGAAGGACCTCGGAGAGGCTGCATATATTATGGGAATAAGGATAGTGAGAAATAAAAGTAAGAAACTGGTAGGACTCAGTCAGGATACATACTTGGATAAGGTACTAAAGCATTTTAGTATGGAAAATTCCAAGAAAGGAGAGTTGCCAATCCAAAGCAATACCAAGTTGAGTAAGACTCAAAGCCCGAGTATAGAGGTAGAGATAGCTGATATGAGCCGAGTACCTTACGCTTCCGCAGTTGGCTCGATCATGTACGCTATGAATCGTACTCGCCCTGATGTGGCCTTCGCTTTGAGCATGGTTGGCAGATATCAGGGAAACCCTGGTAAAGCCCATTGGACTACAGTTAAAAATATTCTTACATACCTTTGGAGGACCAAGGAATAGTTTCTAGTCCTTGGTGGGAGTGACGACTTAAGGGTACAAGGGTACAATGATGCTAGTTTCCAGACGGATAGGGATAATTACCGTTCACAGTCAGGCTGGGTCTTTACTCTGAACGGAGGAGCAGTGACTTGGAAAAGTTCCAAGCAGGAGACTGTGGCTGATTCAACGTGTGAATCAGAGTACATTGCAGCAAGTGAAGCGTAAAAAGAGGCAATATGGTTGAAGAACTTCATTGGAGACCTTGGAGTTATGCCATCCATAAAGGAGACCATGGAGATTTTATGTGATAATGAAGGAGCAGTTTCCTTAACTAAGGAACCAAGGGATCACGGTAGATCCAGACATATCGACAGAAAATACCATTTCATTAGACATCGGGTAGAAGAGGGACTTCTCATAGTGAAGAGGTTATCGTCAGAAGATAACCTAGCAGATCCCCTTACAAAGGGACTGAGCAGGGTTAAGCACTTGTGGCACGCTAGGAGCATTGGGGTAAAGGATGATATGAGCTTAGATCAGATATATAGGAAACGTGTAATAGATAATTTGTACTTGACATTTGATATAAATAAAGGTGTTTTTATTTAAAAAGTAAAGTTACTATCTTGTGTTGGTTATTTATCTGTTGTTTCAGTTTTTCATGTTTTGACTTCCTGAATAATAAGATTATTCAAACAGTCCACAGTCGTTCATATATTGAAAGTAGATATGAAAAAAGACTATCGTGAATTTGTTTGTAGATTGTCTAAAGAGTTTTAGACATAGCAGTAGTTTGTTGCAAAGTTCATGAGTGCTTACGAATTGTGATTTGAGTATTGGAATAAACCCGCATTTGCTGGTATCACTTCATGGAATTTTATCTCAAGTGATCGCAATGCGATAATATCTTATAATCTTAAAACTTAGAGATATGGTTATTGTTTGCTGGTTGGTTATGCATTGATGATGTGTAAACACATTAGTAACTTGATGTTATAAAACACATTGTTGTGCATGATTTAATTAGTAAATAGTAAAAGAATATAAATCGAAGTTAATTTGTTCCTTTAATTCTATGAGGATAAAGGTGATATCTTGGCCACTCGATGATTTGGTTTGACTTATGTGTCGGTCCAGATCATAATAAAGTTGATGTGTTCAACTAAGTTCTATGTCAAATGAGTCAGAGATTGAGAAACAAAGTGCTGGACAATAAGTATTGTAAGCATGATATCTAGAACAGAGGATTATACGATCCCTTATCTGAAGGACGAGTTACTGATCAGAGTTGATAGCGGCGTATAAGAGCTACCACTACTAGAAAAATAGCATTTTACAACGCGCAATTTATGATATGCATTGATTTACGATACGTAAAAGTGTGTGACCTAAAAATAATGTCATCTCTCTATTAGTTTTAAAGATCTAGGATGCTCATTTTTCCGTGCCCTTAAATTAGTGTCTAAAAAAACACGCAGGGCACCTATAATAAAATGTGTGTCGTCTGAAGATGTCACTTTATAAATTTTAATGAGAATGCATGCTCCATCCTTGCCTTCCTTTTTCTTCCTTTGCCTCTTGCCCTAATTATCGATGCCCCTTCCTTCCCCTCCCGACACTGACTGCCCACCTACTTCTTCACTCGCACTTCAACCATCATTACTTGCCATTCCTTTTCATCGATGTCAATCAACGCAAGCAGGCCACCAGCTGACAACCTTCACTCTATCCTTCCTCTTTTCTCTGTAAACCTTAATCCGCCTCCACCACTACCGAATCTACCTCAATTCACCTCTAACCCCGGCTCATCTCTTTCCGTCGGCGACCTTGGGATCACCTTACCTCACCAGAGACTACAATGATTGCTTAATTTTACAAGCCCTAGGTTAGATTAATATTGAAGTTGAGTTTGATTCTAATGAGATGATCGGTTTCCCTAGTCGCGTTTTCATGAAGAAATTTCCCACGTGCACACCAGATCTTCAAATTGTTGCAGAAGGGGACGACGCACATGTGATTTATGCTAAAAAACTCAACTTTTGTACGTGTCTCAACCTCACTGTGTTTGAAATAGATGGTGAAACATGCTTGGGTGTTGTTGAGGTGGTGACGACTTCCCAGAAAGTCAATCTCCGAGATGAACTCGAAAACATCTGTAAAGCTCTAGAGGTATCTTTCTATCTTCTTTTCTATTAAGGTTTCTGCATTTCTGGCTCGATCATGTTAGGTTCAGTACATTTACATCATGTTTTAACTTTCTATGGCTCAGAACACCCTATAGTTCACCATCGTGGTGAAAATTCTATTTTTTTTTCTTTTTTTATTTTTTCATTTGTTAAATGAGTTGATTTCTTTGTTCAATATTTTCTTAATCGAATTTTCGTTGTAGGTTGTTGATCTAAGGAGTTCGGAGTTCTTGGTCTATCCAAAGCAAAAGGTAGGAATGTTGTTAGAAACTCAACAATAAAAGTACACTGAATTCAACCGTTTTTTAATATCTCGTGTATGTTTCTGTTTATCAGGATTTTAGTGAACCATATGATGTTGTACACCACACTACCTGCCAATTTTATGGGCATTTAAGGTATTATACTACTTATGTACTCACATTATGGGTTGAAACCTGTAACTTTACTTGAAAGAGTTTTCTTACAAACACATAAAAGAGCTTTGTTACATGCATACACCTCTCATTTCAAGTTGAAACAAATATATCTACCCCCCCTCTCTCATCCACACACAAATGGTTGAATAGGTATAAGAGTGTGGAGTTCTAATGCAGTGTGTGGAAGAACTAGCAACAATGAAGGTTAGTTTTATAACACATGCAAATGAAGGTCAGTTTTACTAGCAACAATGAAGGTCAGTTTTATAACACATGCAGTGTGTGGAAGAACTAGCAACAATATGTTTAAGATTAAGAAAAAATATCACACAAATCATTTGTTATTAATTTTCAGACTTCTTATTGAGATGTAAGGATTTGACATTGATACTGATGAGTGCTACATTGAATCCTGAGCTTTTTTCCAATTATTTTCAAGAAGCACCCATGATTCATATTCCTGTAAGTGCTTTTGTTATCTTGTTATTTTCTGCAATAATCTACTTTCATGTGTTTGAATATAAGGGTTCACTCACCCAGTGAGGGCACATTTCTTAGAAGATCATGGTTAAGAAAAGTTATGGAAAACACCTCCTGTCATTCAGGAAGTATTCCATGAAGAAGAAGAACCTGAAATCGATGACACAAATACTCCAATTGTTAGTGGGGTAAAAGTGGAAATTCCTGCGAGTTGTGTTGTGCCCATTAACATTTAGTAGGAGGTTGTTAAGACTGAGAAAATGGTGGAGGTGGTCTAGGAAAGTATATCACTTTCTGCAGAACCTTCTACTGGAAACAAGTCCGGGAAGCCAAAAATAAAGGGAGTATCAATGATAGAGTTGTGGGTATGTATGTTGTGTATATATATATTCTAAGTATATATCTATATATCTATATTCTAATTTCTTGTGGGGTTGTGCACTGTAGTGGGTTCAATGCGACAGGTGTGAAGCCTGGCAGCATCAAATATGTGCGCTATTTAATGGTCGAAGAAATGATGGGGGGCAAGTAGATTATACTTGTCCAAATTGTTATATGGAAGAAGTTGAAAGAGGAGAGTCGATGCCTCGACCACAAAGTGTTGTACTTGGAGCAAAAGATTTACCTCGAACCATACTCAGTGATCACATAGAGAGCAGGTTGTTTGGAAAACTGAAGCAGGAGAGACTAGAGCGTGCAAGGTTGTATGGGGAAACTTATAATGAGGTGATGTTATAATCCCCCCCCCCTCCCCAAAAAAAAAGACAACTCCATACCATACATTGTGAATGAACAATAAAGTATGTATCTTACATTTTCTTTATTATTAGGTTCCTGGAGTAGAAGCACTTGTTGTCAGAGTGGTCTCTTCTATGGACAAGAAGTTGGAAGTCAAGCAACGATTTCTTGAGATCTTTCAAGAGGAAAATTACCCTGTGGAGTTAAGGTATAAGTCTAAGTTATTTCAACCGTACTACTTTCGTTGATTTTTTTATTATAGCATCTTTCCCTACATTTCTTCCAATACAATATATTATACTATAAAAAATCTACCCAATCTGTTATATGCGTTGGCTTTATCTTGTGGTTCTGGTATGTGAATCCCTAAACTAGAATTTCTTGTTTTAGGTAGTTCTGTTGTTTCAGAAAATTGAAGGTATAGAAGTGTGTCTTTTTGGTATGTATGTTTAAGACTTTAGAGCAGAGTGTCCGCAGCCAAACCATCGACGCGTTTATCTTTCTTATCTGGATTCGGTCAAGTACTTCAGGCCTAAGATGAAGGCTATGATAGGGGAGGCTCTTCATACATTTGCATATCATGAGATTAAGGCTGTGACAGGGGAGGCTCTTCATACATCACTTGTTGAGGTAATCTTTATCTGGATTCTGGTAAAATTAAGTCAACTCTAATTTAACTTTTGATTATAAAGACTAAAACAAGTTTAAATTTTGATGTGAATACGTTAAGATGCATTGACTCAATCAAACTTTGAGAATTATAGCTCAAAACCTCGTGATTCTCTAAGTAAGTTACCTTTTTACCCTTTGATGCCTTGAAAAACACTCCTTGTTTGTTGCCTTGATGCATTTCACAAGCATCGGCTCGCCAAGTAAGTTACCTTTTTACCCTTTGACTTTGTTGGTCAAGGTAGTTGACTAATTTCTATGTTGCTTTTTTTGTTGGTTAAGAGAAGGGGTAGGGCAGGGCGTGTGCAACCAGGGGAATGTTTCCAGAGCCATTAGCTGTAAGTTGACTAATTTCTATGTTGCTTTACCCTCAATGTGTTTATGATGCTTTTTCTGAATATCAACTACCCGAGCTTTTAAGAACTCCTTTAAATTCTCTTTGTTTGCAAATAATAAGTTGGGAAGTTGGAAGTATTGGAGAGTTTTTTTCAGCTGTTTTGCAGCCTCCAGAGGCATTAGTTGTAAGTGTTAACTGTTCTTGATGACTTGAATCTTAATGAATGATTCAAATTGCTAAATGATAGAACTTTAATTTGTTCTAGGTCCAAAATACTTAAATTGGATCCGAAATTAGGTAAAATGCTGATAATGGGTGCTTTTTTCGTTGCTTTGATCCTATTCTTACAATTGTTGTTGTGTCAGGGATCCTATTCTTTTGCCTCAAGAGAAGAAAGACGTGAGTAATCCAACTACTTTCACACAAGGGCATTTTGGTCTTTTCCTGATATCTTTTGTATGTCTATTTCAGTAAGCTAGTACAACAAAATCTTTTATATGTCTATTTCAGCAAGCTAGATAAGTCCATATGTTACTCTGTTTTGTTGTTTTTTATTTTTAATATGTGCAGCATAGCGATACATCAATGTCCTTCAAAATTATGGATGATGGCCAAGTCTTTCTCTATGCAGTAAGTATTAAAGAAATAGCAATGCACTCTAATTCATTTGTTTCATATTTTTTTCATAGTTCTCTAGGGATATTTTTCCTTGTGTCATAGAATGATTGGCTCCTATCTTGTTTTTTGATATTTATACGCATTTTTTTAAACATATTTCTTTATTGTATTGCATGTTAAGTTACCGAGTATAAAAAAGCTTGCTGATCATGTAGGTGTTCAAAATAATAGAATTTTTTTAAAAATATTTCTTTATTGTATTGCATGTTAAGCTACCGAGTATAAAAAAGCTTGCTGATCATGTAGGTGTTCAAAACAATATAAAATTTTTAAACATATTTCTTTATTGAATTGCATGTTAAGTTACTGATTTTCCATGTGTAGGTTCTGACAGCTCTAGCAACCTCCTTCCATGCCCTGAAGCCTCTCAAAGTTCCTGCATCAGGTTATTCCTTTAGATAGGAAATTGTTAAAGGAGAATTTAGTCATGGGTTTCTTTTAAGGTTGTACATGTTTAGTTTTCTATAATAAATATTATGCAATATTAGCAATGTGTTACATTTACTTACTATTGGAATGATTATTTGTATTTGACATAATAGTGCAATGAATTATCTTTATTTTTTATGGTATTTTATTTTGTATTATGAGACTTTTAATGTGTTATTTAGTTTGAAAATTAGTATATCTATCAAAAAAATATATAATTTTTAAAAACATTTAAGATTATGACATGCAAAAATGTGTGTCTTCTTCCTTTATGACGTGGGCTTCCTTGATACGCATTATGTGTCATAAACACGCGTGTTGTAAGGTTACGACAAGCAAATGCGTGTCATCATCCTTTATGATAGGGACTTCCTTGATACGCAATGCGCGTTGTACACGCGCATCGTAAATGCGTGTCGTCTGTAGACGACGCACAAAAGCGTGTCGTCTCTCGTTATGACAGGACCATCCTTGACACACATTTGCGCATCGTAAAAGGCTGTTTTCAAGTATACGATTGCTAATCGGATCCTGAAGTCGTATGTGAGATATAGTTACTAGGCTTATCCAAGTGGGAGACTGTTGGATTAGTGTCTAAGTCCGTAACAATATTTGGTATGTACTTGACCCGGTTGAGCATGGTCCTTTTGGGTTGCCTTCACCAAAACAACTTGACAAGGTAATTTAGAAGAGAGAGAGAGAAAGAAGATATTATGATTTATTAATATATTATAAGAATAATATATTAAAGGAGAAATCATATTATTTGATTGATATTAGTCATAAATTAATTAGGAATTAATTTGGTGACTAAAAGAGATCAACTGAATAAAGGTGCTTAAATTGTCATATTTTTGTCCATATGCCCTATTCCAGAAGGTTCCATGGGCTGCTTGGTGATTAAGTTGTCCATTAGGGTTTTACCTGAAACCCTAGCAACCTATAGTATAAATAGAGACCCTTGCTTGCAATTTTCGGCCAGTTGACTCCAAGAGAAGCCCTAGGGCCGATTTTAGCATCCTTCCTCCTCTATCATAATTCCCTTATTGCTTGTGTGGTGTTTGTAAGCCATTAGAGGAGTAACACTTGTGACTCACAGCTCAAGACCAAGAAGAATCAAAGGATTTCAAGCCAATTGAAAGAGGTAATCACTTAGATATGTTCTTATAGTGTTAATTTTGAATTATGCATGCTAGATCTAGGGTTACAAGTCTCGGATGAATTGCATGTACAATAGAGAAGCCTAGATCCAAGCTTTAGGGTTTTGCATGAGCACATAGGATGTTCTTTTTTATAAAACCCATCAATCCACACCTTGTTTATGATCCACGGCATCCCAGTCACAAACTTGAAGGGCACAATCGAGATTTAAACATGCCATTGAAAAGTTCAATGAATCTCAAGGGATCTAGGAGTTTCAATTCATTTAAAACCTAATTTTCAATTTTCGTTTTTCATGGTGGAAATTGGTAAATCGTCATTTACCTACCTTCAAATGTTCTGCAATTTGGATTACGGTATCCCTCTTCCAAATTGTAGAATATTATGTTGGATCCTAGCCTCAATATTTCATTTAGGTGTTATATTGAGGATTTTATCAACTAACTTGAATTTCTCCCATTTTGTAGATGTCAAAATCTAACAACTATGGTCTTCTGAATCCGTTGGAAAAAGTTTTCCGCTTGAAGATGATGTTCCACGATTAGATTGTGGAAATGGAAATCATTCTTCACTTCCTCCACCTCCTCCAATAATTCTCCCTAACCCACATGTTCGAATACTTGAAAAGTTCAAGGTCACTCAAGCCCTATTGGCAAAAAGACACAAAGATGGAAAGTCTATATGTGCTCATGTCTTGGATATGAAGTTGCATATTGATAGATTGGGAATGTTGGGTGTCGATGTCTCAAGGAAGTTGGTTGTTGACTTGGCTCTTTAGTCACTTTGTGAATCATATAGTGAGTTCATTGGAGAGTACTATATGATGGACGACGACATGACACTTATTTATTTGACTTATTTTCTTATTGCTGTTGAATCAACGATGATTTGGTGCACCGGTCAAGAAAATTTCTCTGGTAAATCAATGTCCCATCCTTCTATGGGAAATGGAAACATTGGAAGTCCAGAAAATTGTTCTCTATGCAAGAGAAAGTCTGAGTCTGAAATAGTCCCGTGTACCATTCCATAAGAATCCATATGTTTCTACTGTCAAAAGAAGAGGAATTGGTTATGAAGTTGCCCTAACTACCTAAGAGATCTAAGAGATCGGAGAGTCGAATTGTATGACTCTACTTCAGGTAACATCCACTATCTAATTCTATTAAATTTTCAATTTTAGATTCCTAATACATGATGTGATAAGATTTCATTTTGATGTGTTGTAGGATCGAAGAAAGGAAAGGAAGCTTGAAGGTAGAAGTGAGCTGAGTCTGATCGCGAAGAAATGGATTTCGATTGCATGATTCGATGATCAGATTTTTGAGCTGCTGCTTAGAGTTATGATAGATTTCTTAGGAATATGTGATAGCATCGTCTTCATTTGAATTTGCATTGTAAGGACAAGTTTTTTTCCGCACCTTTTTATAAATAAAATAAATTTTGAATTTTGTCATATTTATATCTCCTTGCAATGTTATTTGTGAAAATTGATGCATGTGCGTTTCTATTATAAGTAATATTAAGTGGATGTGATTCTTAGTTATGTTATTTATGGTAGTGTCATAATTTTCTAAGTAAGGAAAGATTCCCATCACCCAAGATTCAATTGGACAAAAGCTTGGAATCATATGATTTGAGTCATGTGATGTATGGAAATGGTGGTAATTAGGAAATTAAGACTAATTCCTTGTTCACACAATGTTGTGCACTGGTCAAGTCTACCATAAATAACAATAAAATTATGCTTACAAGATTAAGTATAATTTTGAATCATTGAAAAAGTTTCAATGTATAGCAGAACGAATAAGAAGAATCAATTAGGCAGAAAGATAAAAGTTCCTCCAATCTAAAAAGAAAGGAGAGTACTTAAGTATCATGTTTTATGATCATCCTAGTGATTATGAAACCATATCACAATTGATCCTCTAAGGACACCTTAGTGCACTAGTATGGCTAAGAATAGGAATCAGAAATTGTTGAAATGGTTAAATCAAAAGGTGAATCATACTTCATTCCAAAATCAAGTATTAGAGTCATACTCCAAGATTGTGACTTGAGTGACACATATTAAGAATTTTTTAACACACTCATCAAATGTGGAGTAGAAATTTATTTTTCTCACTCTTGCACGTTTGAAATTGGTAAATTATGATGTCTTGGATAAGAAAAAGACCAACTAATATCAATTGTGTGTAGTGTTTGTCTTGATAAGAATCCACACTAATTCTTGAATATTTGTTTGTCAAGAAATGTTTCTTGACAAGAGAATCTTATATATCAAGAGGTCAGTGGGAGTCTAAATGATCTTGAAAAGTTTCAAGAACTAATCAAGAGTAAACCTATTATTAAACACTAGCACACGACTTGAGGTTTGTAACCTATCGTGTTGACATATTCTTGTTTCTATGCCATTCCACTTTATTTAACTTGGAATGTGAGTTCTATGAGTTCTCAATTGATTTCATAGAGGCAAGGCACCCTGATAGATGGAAAGTACATTGATAGGTAGGGGTGAGCTGCTTATTAACTTGGAAGCAATGGTGGGACCCTTGATGGCAACAAATTAAGAATGAACAAGTTCTGTCCGTAAGAGTTTGGATTTGTGTCAAACATTATCTTATGATTATGGTTATGACAAATTCACATGGATAAGAGCACATACACCATAAAATCTAAGTGTCATAAAGTTTCTCTCTTTTTCATGAAAATGATTGTTAGGAAACGCTTTCACTAAGAGATATTTTAAGGAGATAGCAATTGTGATATTTGCGTTCTCATATTTGACTATGATTACGGCATCCCTCTTCATAGTTCAAATTATGAGATTTGACAATTAATCTAAAAATTTAGGACTTATTGCTATAAGTTCTAATATAGTTTAGACACACATGTGAGCTATCTAAGGAAAGGTGTATGAGTTTGAGAAGCTTAGATAAAGTCTTATCGAAGCATATCATATTAGAAATATGAACTTTGGAAGTCAATAAGTATTGATTTCTAGAAGTCAAACTATTTTCTGAATACTTGTCAAAGCTAGTGGGAGCATAAATGTTATGCTGGTATGGATATAATTATCATGTTAGTGGGAGCATGATTATTATTTTAAGTGTTGCAAATTAGCAAAATTAATTATAGAAAACAAAAGTTTAACTTTGCAAAGTTGCATGGGTTGAAAAGTTGTTTTGCTATAATTAAGAGAGAGAGAGAATATTATACTTCGTTTCAAATCTAAAAGCTTAGATCGAGAAATTTTAATCAAATTTAGTCAAAGGACATACATAAATGTTATGATGAAAAGATTCAACATAAGGGAATTTTATGTATGGCAATATTATAGCAAGAAACTGGTAAAGTATCACGTTTTCGTTATGAATCATGTCCCATATGCTTTGGGTAAAGGATTGATTGAATATGCTGTAATATTCGAACGTTCTAAATTTTCAAAATTCATAGGGCATTAAGAGGGAAAAGGACTAGAACTGGATTTGACTAAAATAATTAAACGGCTGTGAAGGACGATCTAAGGTTCGCCAAGGATTAGTCACTTTTCGGAAGTTGGAAGTATAGTCACGAATGAACCATAATGACATTATTATGATTAGATATGATTTTATTAATAATGAGTTGTCATATGGAAAATATGGAATGTTTCCTTATTGGGAGTTGGATATCAAGAATCTATGTCTAGATTAGAAACTTTTATGCAAGAAGGATGTTCAAAGGAATGTACTTTGAATATGAGACTTCACATCTATATAATTGCCTTGTAAAAATCTCCATTAGAGCACTTTGTAATATCATTGACAAAGTCG